CAACATTCATCGTCATACTTCAGCCAATTTACACAAAACCTAAATTAATTATACACCTAAACCTTTCCTATGAATCACTTCAATGTAATGGTGAAAAACGTGACAGAAGGACGGACAACAAATGTACAATTCACGAGTCATTTTTTTTTTCATCTTCTCTGGACGAAAGCCAGCCGTAAAACGCCAACCACTGCCACCTGGGATGGCTCTGCCAAGTATCAACTCGATGCATTAGACTCGATAGATCGCCGAGCTCGCCGTATTATAGGTGATCAATCACTAACGCAGACGAAACTGCTTAGTCTACAGCATCGACGCAATGTCGCCTGTCTATCGATCTTCTATCGGATATACTTTGGGGAGTGCGCGCAGGAACTTCACAACCTTGTGCCCCCTTCACCGTTTTAACACAGAACTGCGAGAAGTCGTAAGCGCTGGCATCCTTATATGGTAGAAATCCAACCAACTCGCACGAAACGCTTTAGTTCTACGTTTCTGAAACGAACCGCTAATGAGTGAAACACCCTTCCAGCATACGTGTTTCCTGCCACTTATAATCTAAGTACTTTCAAGGCAAGAGTGAATAGGCATTTTCTAGGCAAGCGCGCTCCAACCTAGACCTCATCAGTGCTTCCCAGCGCTGATTGTAGTCAAGCGCAAGCCTATCGTACAATAAAAAAAAAAAACGCCAACCATCTCGATCTCGGGTAGCTTGTATCCATCCTGTATCTGCCTGCCACATTTTTCAAATATATCTTTTAACACGGGTCATACTAATACATAATTATTATATTTTTTCAATTTTGAAGTATGGACATCAAAAAGCGAGCAAAGTTATGTGAAAACTGCTTATCTAATAACCGTTGATTTCTGTCGTTTAATGCCTACGTTGCATTTCAAGGTCTAAGCGGAGTTCGTTACAGGGATATGTTGAAATTAGACGCACTATTAGTTTATGACACGGAGACTGATAGACACTTCCTTTGGTCGTTCATACGAATATGGTAAGTGGCGGTAAAAATGAAATAATAATGCCACTTTGTAGGTATATTAAAGGTAAATTTTTAAAATTTATTAAAAATTTACTGACCGACTTTCAAAAAACGAGAAATTTCTCATTTTTTTCAATTTTTGAGTTTCGATACCTCGAAAACAGAAATCTATTGAACTATAGAAGTCTGAATATCGAAGTGTGCTTTGATTTGTATTGGCTGGCGCCGACTTTGAAAACATCTGATTAGGTATCTATAGTAAATGAAAACAACCAATCAGTAATTTGTTACTTTTTAGTCTAGTTTAGTCTTTTTTTTAGTACTTTTCAAATTTAAATAGGAGCAAAATCGAAGTTTACATTTTCAAACAAAACAAAAATTGACCAGATCGGTTAATAAATGACGAATTTCTGAGGTAACAAACATACGTACGTATAAGTCGGTTGGAAATATAAAAAATCGCTGAACAGATTTCGATAAAGGCCGCCCAGCTTATCACGCGAGTGAAGCCCCGTGTTAAAACTAGTAAGTAATAATTTCGAAAAGCAAAGAAAGTAAAATGATCAAAACGGATTTTTATTTAGGTACTATTTTAAGTAGCTTAATATCTAAGAAGCGTAATGAAATAAGCAGTTAAACCCATTAAAGAATTAGGCCACTTGGATTTACTCGCACGTCGTTTAATAAAAAAGGCGTTAAAATTAATTTCTATAAACCGTATTTTATTAATATTATCAATGTGAATGTTTTTGAGTATGTTTGTTACGCTTTCACGCCAGAACGTTTGAACAGATCTGCATGAAATTTGATACCACATAGCCTACTTTTTATCCCGGAAAATGTACGGTTCCCGTGGGATAGGTTTGTTTTTGTTTACCTAGAGGTGAACCCGCCCGAGCGAAGCGAGGGTGAGCCACTAGTACTTTATATTACTATTAATTATATAATATTAACAACTGTTTTTGAATATATATGAATAATATTTACCTCTATATAATTTTTTTTATTGATAACTCTCGTTAATAGCTACAAGTGGTGTAACGAATATTCGCATCAGCATTCGCGAATCTTCGCATATTTTTTGACATTCGCATTCGCATACCAATGCGGATGCGAATACCAATTCCCAAGAAGCGATGCGAGTATTTGGCGAATGTATTTGACAAACAAAAAACTTAAAAAAAACACTATATTTAAGATAATAGATATTTTCGAAGTGGGTGCCAGCCGATACAAATCAAAGCAAAGCTTACATCACAAATTGATGTATATATATTATAAACTATAATTAAAGTTCAAACTGTCATATTTACCTATTTGATATTCATATCTTAAAGCATTGTCGGTTGACACCGACAAAAATGTATCTATAGTAAATGAAAACTGCTAATCAGTTATTTTTTACTTTTTAGTGTTTTTTTTGAAGTCGATTTTTTTGTTTTTAATTTTCCATTTTTAGTGTATTCATAGTAATAGCAAAGTAAGAAGAAAGGATTTTAATAAAATATTCGCATAAGCTGTTTAAGTAAGTTAGATGCCAATTTTTATATGAAGATTGACAAACTAAAATTCGCTGATATTAACCTATTAGATATTATCTTAAACAAAATATATTTATCTATTAGATAGACCACCGACTTCGAAGATATCTGATTAGGTCTGATCTATAATTAATGAAAACTACCTATCAGTTAAACTTTTTAGCTTTTTTTTGAAGTCGTTTTTTTTTAGATTTTACTTTTCTATTTTTAGCGTAGAAATAGTAATAGCAAAGTAAGAAGAAAGTTTTTTAATAAAATATTCGCTTTTAAGCCGTTTAAGTTAGTTTGATGTCAATATTTATATGAAGAATTCACTGTTATTAGTAACACTAAAAAATCTGGCTCCAAAATCCAATTTTAACGTATTGGGTTTTCAAATCCAACAAAATAAGCCCAAACTCAAAGTACTAGATACTTTAAATTTGTTAACCTAGAAGAGTTCCACCTATCTATCATTCTGGCCTTACCATCAGATCAAGTCGACGATACCGAATCACTGGACTATCAACGGAAATAGAAACATTTGAAAATTTCAAGTCAATATGACAATTAGAAGTAGGTTAAATTTTCAATTGCAATTTTTTTTCACATTAGTAGAATTTTTCATATTTAAATGGAACGAACCTGGTAGTATACATTTTCAAACAAAAATAAAAATTGTACAAATCGGTTAATAAATAAGTACTTCCTACTGCTTGAAGTCGGTTGAAATAGAAATTATATGTATATAGAATGGATGAATATGGGATGATAATACAACTGATACGATTTATATTTTTTTATTTACTTGTAATATTTGAATAAAAACCCATTATGGAACAGTCTTGAGGTACGCAACTAAATTAGAAATACTTTCTCTTTTGTTCTTGGTAGACTAATTAAAATATTAAAAAACAAAAACTAAAAAAAAAATAACCGACTTCCAGGCACTAAAAAGTATAAGTTAAAAGTATAGATACCTAATCAGATATTTTCGAAGTCTGTGTGTTTTGATTTGCTGGCACCGACTTCGAAGTATTTGATTCTAAATGAAATCGTTAGTTATTTTTTAATTTTTAGTGCCTGGAAGTCGGTTATTTTTTTTTAAGTTTTTATGTTCCCATTTTTAGTGTAGACGTAATAAGCAGGTAATTTGTAAGAAGAACGTTTTTTTTAATAACATATACGATTAAGCCATTTATTTAAAAACAATTTATTGCTGATTTTTGAAAAAACCGCTCGACCGATTTCGATAAAATTTAAATGGACCACCTGGGAAGTATACCCTTTAAAACAAAAAAGAATTTTCCAAATCGGTTCAGGCGTCTTCGAGTAATCGATGAACATACACAAAAAAAATACATACAGACGAACATAGAACCTTCTTCTTTTTGGAAGTCGGTTAAAAATCACAACTAAACTAAAAAAAATATTGTCCTTCATTACATAATGAAAAATCAAATTCTAAATTATGTATATTTAAACCAAAATTACACTATTTATATCCAAAATATTATACAATCTTTGGCTTTTTTCAAACAATTAAAGATAATGAAATATAAACTCAAAAAATAAAATAATGAATACTTAAATAAACTATTTGAAAATAAATCAAGTCAACATTCGCATTCGCATTTGTAAATATTGGAGATGGATATTCGCATTCGCATTCGCAAATGTGAAAATTCGAACATTCGTTACGTCACTAATAGCTACTAAATAAAAAAAAAAGAAAATCGGCTGACGACCTTAAGAGAAAAGAGTACCGAACTATGTTTTGTTTATCGATTTTGTTTTTGTTTTTAAGTTATAATATTTTAAGGCATAAATCCAAAAAGGTAGAATAACGTACTTTTAAAGCTGTTATGTTTTAAATGTGTCACAAATAATATAATATCTTTATATATATTATCATATTATTCAATAATTATATATTTATAGGTACCTACTATTGGAATCAGAGTAGATCGAACGAAATAAATTAATAAAGGTTATTATTATTCATGGTATTGCGCAATTTTATGTTTCAAATCCATATTCCATTAAGATTTTTGGTTTCTTTCCATGAAGTTAATTGTAAAAAAATATATAAACATATTTTTTTCATTAAGTTATTTCCTTTGTTTCTTCTATTGTATGAGACATTTGTGATTTAGTTTGTTGTCTGGCTTGATTAACTGCTGTAAAATAATTAAATTAAATGCTATATAAACTCCGTGTGCGCCAAACAATCCAAGTGATTAAGGCGTTATGGTATCACGTAAAGACATGCAAATGCCATTATAATGCGAAATGTATTTATAAAAAAACGATGTTTACCCAAATTCTCCAAGTGTAGTTTTAATTATAATTAGTAACACACAATTTTATCGCATCTTAGATATTTAATTAATAAAACCACAAAAAAATCATGCAACACTCATTAAATATATTGTGTTATTTATTTACAAAGAGTTAAATTAAAATTATGTAACTATACGTTTTTTACCTTCTAATCCAGCGAAAAAATCTGTTCCCGCCTTTTTTTCCATTTGTTTTTTTCTTCTTCCCCATTTTTACACTTAATACCTTTGTCACTAAAAAACTATTTCATTGTCTATGTCCTCAGTTTGAACATGGAACACGACACGTTCTCAGCACATCACTTAGTTTTATTTATATATGGAATAGCACTGGTTTATATATAGAACGCTTCGCTACAGGACTCTATGGTTTGGCTCTATAAAATATTATGTATTACATTTTAGTTTTTATAATAAAAACCAGTAACAAATAATATTAATCACAAAAAAGCATTAAAATATACCGATATCTGTCAAAAATCGATATTTGCCACTTGCTAGATATATAATTTACGAAACGTTATCACTGTCACAAATCGATTTATTAGTTAATCGATTAATAGTTTTTGACATTTAAAAGATAATAATTCAGAAAAATAATTATCAGAGTATTCAAATATGGAAGATAAATAAATAAAAAGGCGATATAACAGTAATGCGCGTTGGACGCACGCGCCGATACTGGCGCGTGGCCACGTTCAAATTTAGAAATTAAAAAAAGTTGCAGCGGGAATGCAGCGGGTGTTTCGTTTTATTTTGGTTATCCGTCTGAATATAATAATTCATGTGTTATTTTTATTATTTTATCTCATATTTATATTCAAATGGATATCGAAATTAATAGCATAAAATTCATTAAAAATCAGAAATCTTATAATGTTCTAATTCTAAAATATAAATTGATCAACGTCATAAATATTTTTAAATCAACCGGTAACTGTAATAGGTACTTATATTTTGAAAACGAATTTATTAAAAAGTTATAGCTGTATAATTTACAGCCTATAGTTTATATATAGTATCTATATGTTCTTTAAATCAATACTAATTAGAAATTACTAATAATAAAAAGAGGCAGAATTAATTGTTCGTTTGAACGCGCTAATCTCAGGAACTACTAATCCGATTTGAATAATTAATTATTTTTGAGGAATATTTACTGAGGAAGGCTATAGGCTATATATCATCCCGGAAAAATGTACGGTTCTCGTGGGATAGATTTGTTTTTGTCTAGGAACGGACCCGAAGCGAAGCGAGGGTGAGTCGCTTGTTTTACAAATAATTTTGACTTAATTAGGCAAATTGTATAGAGAAATAAAAAATATATATATAGAAAAACTTAACTGTAGCAGAAATATAATTGTGGCAGAAGGACCGTAGACAAAAATAAAAGATCTATGGTCGTGAGTCACGCTCTTCTATATCTGTTCAGATGAGTGGGGAAACAATGTGCAACGGGCATACCTAACAAGCTTTCTAAAGGTTATATAGAAATTACTACTATATAATACAACTAGCGACTCACCCTCGCTCCGCTCGGGTTCGTCCTTGGTTACGTATTAATGTTTAGTATAGATTTCTCAGAGATGAGATATTTTTTCCAGCAGTAAAAAGTATCCTATATGTTGACCTGGATAACCAGCTATCACCATAACAAATTTCATCAAAATCCTTCCAGTGGTTTATCCGTGATACGGTCACAGACAGACAGACATTCTAAAAACTATAGATTCGGTCTCTATATCGATAATAAATATTAATGTCTATTTCAATAAGATTTTCAAAAAAATATTTACAGTACAGACGCGACTCAGAATTTTATTATATGTATACATAAACAATCGCAGGTGCATAAATAAAAAAAAATACAACAATAGCTTACAGTAGCAGAGTTTTTAACTAGTCTGCGGTCGTGGAGTCAATGCGGTACATAATTTTTAACCCCCGATGCAAAAACGACGGGATGTTTTAAGTTTCACGTGTCCGTGTGTGTGTCTGTCTGTTTGTGGTATCGTAGCTCCCGAACGGATGAACCGATTTTGATTTTGTTTTTTTTTTGTTTGAAAAGTGAATTAGTCGGGAGTGTTCTTAACTATGTTTGATGAAAATTGGTCCAATATGTATGTTACGATATTGGCAAGTTCCTTTAAACTACAATGCTTCAATACTTTTCCACAAGCCGCCACAAAGTCTCTAGAACAAAAATAAACAATAATAACGTCATAAAACTGTGATGCAACGGAGACTTTGGCAAATTACCAGCAGTAAGTGAGCAGTACCTTTGTATGTGGTGGAGTCATGGTTTTAATTTTTAAGAACATAAGTGTATTTACAATAAATAGGCCCCGAGCTCTTCGTTTTGAACGCTCCCATATAAAGAAAATATCATATTAGATAAATAGAATATCAAACAAGTGAAAGCGATGGTATCCCATTATGATAGATACTTCAATCATCAACCCTGAATTTATAAAAAAACTAGCGACTCACCCTCGCTTCGCTCGGGTTCGTCCCTACTTTGATTCCCCATACAAATTTTCATCCCCATTTTCAACCCCTTAAGGGATGATTTCCGGGATAAATGTCCTTCCCAGGGTCTCACACTATCTTCTTACCAAATTTCATCTAAATCGGTTCATAGATCCAAAGATTACCCCCTACAACGTCACAAACTCACAAACTTTACGTCTTTATAATATGTATTAGTATGGATAATAATATGAGCAATGGGCACGAATCCCCACTATATATTTGCTAGTGGTTATCATGTTAAAAATGATTTTCTCTGATGAAAATCTCAGATGCACGAAGGGTTTAAAACAGATTTAGTTTGGTCTAACACTTGTGACAGTTTCAAATGCGAATTACTATTAACATGATTAACTATAACTCGTTTATACGGTGAATAAAAACATCGTGAAGAATCCTATGTCTGAGCGAATCTAAGCAATTTTTGGAAGACGTGTGAAGATCGCCAACCCACACTTGCCTAGGGTGTTAGACCATGGCTTTCTTGCGCTTACAGAAAATCCTTAGGTACTATCAATGGGATGTTAAAATTATTATTATTATCTTTTACTACGTATTAGACTATGGTCTTCTCTCACACTGAGAGAAGACCCTTAATATCAGTGAGTTCAAAAGGGCTTAATTAATATTTTTATCATAACTTTTTTAAGCAATCACGTTTCTAACCAATATCAGCTACTACTATCACTGAGCGCTAATTATAAAAAAAAAACATCAAGAACTATGATACATTGATACATAAGTATCTAAGATTAATGACATAACAACTACCAAAATTCTCTTGGCAAATGTCCATTGATACGACATTTAATGGGAATGAGGAAATACAGGAATACTTCATAATTGACCCAAATTAAGCTTCTGACACATCTTAGCGCTAAATAGACGCCATTTTGTAAACATTAGATGGTGAAATAACATCAGTAATTAATTTCTTATACATATAAGGTTTTTAATTTTTTGATTTCTATTTATAAAAAAGACACATAAAAATGCTAAATCACAATTTTCTATATAAATACCATATCATTAACATTCCGATATCATTAATGTATAATTATCACTAGCGACTCACCCTAGTTCGCTCGGATTCGTCCCTAGCTTGATTCCCTATACAGACTTTCATCCCCATTCTCACCCCCTTAAGGGATGATTTCCAGGATAAAAAATTTTTTTACTCACTCACTTTTTATATCATTAGATAAAAAAAACTTACTTTAGAAAAAAAATCTTTAATTTCCTTCACACCTATACAAAACTTTTCCTGACAGTAACGAACACAAAAAAAAAAGAATTATTTAATTTGGTGCAGTCGATCAGAAGTTATGCGCGTACATATATTTTGGTGATTAATTTTTATTTATATAGATTTTATAATATTTAATACCCGCGGACGTGGTTGGCAAATGTTATATCCTACATGTTACAGTTCTCGTTAGGTCGGAAAATAAAAAAATATATAGGTATATCTTGATCTCAAAATTTCATTCATTTATACAGCTCCACCTATCGGGCCCTGTTATAAAAATTACGAACAATCCAGACGATCTCATAGGTACAAAAATTCATCAAAATTAATGAACCCATTTATATAATAAGGATAGGAATTACGTACAATGGAAATTAAAACTTAAGTAACACTTTTACAAAGAAAACAAATATATCAAAAATTAAAAGTTGTAGGTAAAATAGCAATGAAATATTTTATTAATTCAAAGATATATAAAAAACTATTAGTATATTTAGTAAATAAACAAATTACCCCAGCTGCCATCAACGATCTTCATTCTTTTTAAAATAAACAAAATGAAGGATTTTGAACAGGATGTTTTCAATTTAAACAAGTGAATATTATTTGTCTTTGCCTAATTATAGATATGTCTGACTTCAAAAAAGACGAGATACTCAATTGTTGATGAAAAAAAAAACAATTGTATGTAGGTACGTACCTTGCGTATGCCAGATATTTCTTTTGTATATCTACCTTTTTAGTTACAGTGTACTAATTTCCAATGAAACTCTATAATATAGTTGGATAAACAGTAGCCAATGTTACTCTGTGGTGATAAACTTCTATCTACATATTTTATCTATTACTAAGTAATATAGATATACCTACAATCGGACTAATTATAGGTATAGCAAGGAATAATATAAGAAAAAGTCAGATAAATATGTGTAGATACTGAACTCTGACTTGGTATCACTCAGACACTTGTAACTGAGAGTTCTGAAGCACTAATTGTAAATATCACAAACATAAAACATGTAAGTAATTATATTCCATTATTTCTTAGACATTTCCCTGGAGGAGTAAAAGACTTATTCAAATATAGCTCATAAGGTTACGTGAATTTAATTTCACTTTTCATCATTCAGTTACATATATGAAGGGGCACAATTCCTTATTTTTCCGTAAGTGAACTAGTAAAACATTGCATAGCACATAACTATCATGAACCCACCTTTCAAATCTATACATATAATAAAATTGTAACTAAGCCGAATCTGTACATTAAATATTTTTTGGAAAATAATATTGAAATAGACATTATTATCGATACAGAGACCGAATCTATAGTTTTTAGAGTTTTTGTCTGTCTGTCTGTCTGTATGCAACACGGAAATAACACTGGAAGGATTTTGATGAAATTTGGTATGATGATAGCTCTAGCTAAGGGT